CTTAACAGCTGACCTGTCAATGATTGCTCGATTTTATGGAAGCTAAAAAGTTCAACAGCATAAAATTTGACTGTACTTTTAAACTCATAATCTTTTGAAAATCGATAATTTATTGATATAAATTCATCAAACTCTCGATATAGAATGTAATAATCTTGAATGTTAACTGATCAAATTATGATGATGACATCAATATAAATTAAGATGTAAAGATAATCAATAGCTACATCAGTTAGTAATTTTAATTAATAATCAGTTGCCCAATTGTGCACTTGTCGTGAAATGCCGTCGTTGTGGATTTTCTTTTTCCACTGTACTTGCTGCCACCTCTACTGCACGAGTCTTTTCCAGATCTATTTTTGTGTAATTTACATTGGACGTTAAGCCAGTAGATGCTATATCGTTACGTATATTAGATGGATTAGCCCTAAAATTATAATGATATATTGATCATCGTGCAATGCCGAACAAAAGTATTGTTTACATGAGAGAAATAAGGCTGCTGATCTTTCAAACATTTATCAAATGTCATTTTATCCATTGATTTCTGATATTCAACTATAAAATGATAATTGCTAATCGAAACACTAAAATTAATACCTGACAGCTGCGGATGAACCTTCCTCAGTTATTCCTACCGCTACTAATGCGTAATCAAGTTGCGATGGCGTTGTTTCACGATCATTCACTCCTGAATCCTGAAACCATCAGTTGTATAGTATGCTATGATAACCATGTATGGTATATTGCCATAATCAATGCTGGAATACTAAAAACTATTCTTTTTTATCATTCAATTAAAAAATCTCTCTGTTAAATTTAAATTAAATAACACAGCAAAGATTCAGAGGGACAATTTTTAAATCATAATAAAAAAGTTTATGTAAAAAAAATCACTTGAATTCTTATAAAATCGATCATGGAAGCAAGTGAGAATGATAGCTGTTACAAAATATTAAGTATTTCGGAAATACAAAAAAAAAAAAAATTATGGAAACTATGAAACAAGTTGAGAAAATAAAGATCTGTGCTATCCTTATTCAGCTGAAGTTAGTTCGAAAGTTGACAAGCAATTAGATAATTACTAGCATAAAGTGCTGCATCATTCTATGAAATCCTGTTTCGGCACAAGATAAGTAACTGAATCGTGAGTAATATAAGCAAATGAACTTTCCTGATCAACCAGGTAATATCAGTAATTTCCAAATTTTCAAATAAAATTTAATAAATTAAAAAATGACCTTTCGAGCATTAACATAAGAATTAGGAGGTTGTCTATCATAAGAGCACAGAAATCCACAAGGTGGATAGCGATGTGATAACTCAATAGCAGGAGTATTGAATCGTTGTGAGCCAAAATCCGTTGTGCCGAGATTTTGTTCCGTTGAACCACTTAAAACCCAATGAAATGATAATTTGATAGAAATTATTTTTTAGAAATATTTTTCAGCTAGACATTTGTCAAGCATTCATACGAAAAGAAAAAGAATAAGAAAAAAAAGAAGAAATAAAATTTTAAAAGGTTTTCTTTTTGGTTTCAAATTAATGGAAAAGCATACAAATTGAAATGACTGGTAGAAGCATATTCCCTCAAAACCGGCGATACACACTGCGGTGATGAAGTAGCGGAACGACGTTGCGGAAGAATATTGACGTAGGAATGCTCACAAGTACTCGATTCGGATGGCTGTCGTTGAAGTACATGCTCACTGCTGAAATTTATGCCTTCTATATATTCTAAAAACTATATCAAAGGATGATAACTTAGATGGTATTCTTGATAAATACTATAAAAAATATATGAGTTCGATCGAACAATACTTTCATGCTCTTTCTTGCTTTATCTCTTTCCAGTAAACAAGTTCAAGGTAAAATTTTTAGGAAGAAGATAATGATATATCAATATTAATAATTATTGAATAATGATTAAATGTTCAGGTTACAGTTTGAATATTTTTCATTTTCTGATAACTATATATTTTTCAACAAATTGAAGCAAAAAAAAATGAATAAGTAGTAAGAAAAAAAAAAACAAGTAATTCCATTTACACAATGTTTCCCATAAAGGCCGGTCGATTGAGGCATGATCGAGGCGAATGATAGGATGGCGGTGGTAAAGGCCAAATAGCTGTATGCGCCGGTCCAGCAATACTTCGAGGTCGTTTCGGTATTTGGAAGAGAAGCTGTCGATGATGATTAAATCGATTGAATGGTCGGTGATAACTGGTAACACCATGTAACGATGGCGAATAATCACCCACATTTGCTGTTCCTAAAATATATATATATATATATTTAATTTTTCTGAATTATTCAATTTGACACTACAGTTTCTTAATTTTTTTGTTTAAGTTAATAATTCTATTTCTCTACTATACATATACACTATAT